TTTTTTATGACTGATCAAGCCAAAAAATGGTTATTTAAGAATAGTGATCATATGAAGCCATTTATTATCACATAGCTCTTTGGCCCCTTTTAAAATTGTATCAGAAATCACCCAAATGGCCCTGATCAAAGTTTACATACTCTGGAATGTTTGGCCTTGGTACAGACACACAAGGTGACACACACACACAGGTTACAATGACAATTACCGGTTAATTTCCCTCATCAGTGGCGGTTTAAATTGCAATTAGTGTCTGTGTATAGTCAATGAGCTTATTAGTTCTCACGTGGATGCACCAAACAAACTAGAAACTGAGCTATGGAGAACAGAAAAAAAAAACTGTCAAAAGACATGCGTAACAAGATATTGGAACCTTGTACAGATGGAAACGCATATAAGGAGATATCCGCCAGTCAGTACTGTTAAATCACTTATTAAAAAGTGGAAGTTCAGGGATACCAAGCAAAGGTCTGGTAGACCAAGAAATATTACAGCCACAACTGCCAAGAGAATTGTTCTGGATACAAAGGAAAACTGACAGGTAACCTCAAAACAAATACAGCTCTAGAAAAAGACGGTGTGGTTGCTTTAAAGGTGTACAATATGATAAAAATGAGCTGCATGGTTGAGGTGCCAGAAAGAAGCCTTTTCTGCACCAATGCCACAAAAAAGCCTGGTTACAATGTGCCTGACAACACCCTGACATGCTTCACGGGGCTTTTTTCTGTGGCATTGGCACAGTACAAATACACCATGTAATTATTAATTTGCCTTGAGTGTAGTGCATTTATGGTTCAACTTTTCCATAAAAGTGATTTTCTTTTTAATGGCAAATTTACTTGTTATTCAAACAAGTTAACGTTCACATAGTTTTCAGTCAATTGTTATAAAAGTACCATTACAATACATTCCAATTTAAAATGTCACATATGACAAGTAATATTCTTGTAACCTTTTTGCTGCCAGACCAGTTTCTTTACTTTTCACACGTAAATTAAAATGCATTGTGTATTTGTAAACTCACAAAATATCCCCAAACAATATTATATTCAACAGAGCAGAGGACCTACTGTTCTAATGTAAAAAATGTAATAAAAAATTCACAAAATAGTTTTGACGCATACAGATATAATCCCCCAAAATTGCGTGTGGTTGCGATTGGTCAACAACAAGACACCTAAAATTATAAATAGGTAACGTGTATTTTCTATTAATTAAATTTTTTTTTTTTTTTTAAGTACAATTTTACTTTTTTTAATAGAAAACTATTACAGTCACAGGGCTGATATGGCCCTATATGACATCAAACTCAGGTGGCTTAATAGACTCCTAATAACATTTCTGCCTTCATCCAATGAAAACCAAGGACAAAATACCTGCGCAGATCTCCAGGTTGGTGTCAGCAGTTCTATAGGGATGATCCCAGAAGTGCAGTAAGATTCCAGACTCAATTAACACAATCCCCATTAGCCCCCTTCCACGTGCCATTTTGACATAGCCTGCTGAGGTCAAGGGCTTGTAGAATAGCCATGGGGTGAAAGGATTGGTTGACACTAATAGGCTGTAAAAAAAATAGGCTGTAAAAAAAAAAAAAAAAAATTTAACTTTAAATTTAACTACATCAGTGAATCAAGCTGAAACCGTCACAGCCACTATTGTGCCAGTGAGCTTGTTTACAACCTTAGAGTGCCCTGCCATAATAGTTGTAGCTATATGGCAGTTATAGGGTAAACAACATCCTGCAGAAAGGGCCAATCATCATATTTTAAAGATATTGAAGGCAACAATACTTGCTTGTTGTATGACACAAATAGAGAATCTAAAAATCTACATGGAACATCATCAAGAAGCAATAAAAATTTAAATCACTTAAAAATAACTGAAAAGACAAGAAAGAGTTTGTTGCTCATCTGGTTTAAAAATATCTGCCGTATACAATAATGGTTTGATGACTGTCCAATCTCCATACAGTTGCAAGAAAAAGTATGTGAACCCCTTGGGATGACGTGGAGTTTTGCATAAATTGGGCATAAAATGTGCTCTGAACATCATCTAAGTCACAACAATAGAACACAGTCTGCTGAACATAATACTACACAAACATTAGATGTTGCCATGGTTTAATTGCACATAACATGTAAACATTCACAGTGCAGGGAGGCAAAAGTATGTGAGGCCCTAGCTTAATGACTTCTCCCAGAGCTAATTGGAGCCAGGAGTGAGCCAACCTTGACTCCAATCAGTGTGATGATATTGGATGTGTTGCTGACAGCTGTCCTGCCCTTAAAAAAACACACACCTGTTTTGAGTTTACTGGTTTCAAGAAGCACTGTCTGATGTGAACCATGCCTCGCAGAAAAGAGCTCTCAGAAGACCTACGATCAAGAATTGTTGACTTGCATGAAGCTGGAAAGGGTTACAAAAGTATCTCCAAAAGCGTTGATGTTCATGTGTCCACAGTAAGACAGACTGTCTACAAATGGAGAACGTTTAGCACTGTTGCTACTCTCCCTAGGCGTGGTCGTCCTGTAAAAATGACTGCAAGAGCACAGCACAGAATGCTGCATGAGGTAAAGAAGAATCCCAGAGTGTCAGCTAAAGACCTAAAGAAATCTCTGGCACATGCTAACATTTTTGTTGACACATCTACAATAGGGAAAACATTAAACAAGAATGGAGTACATGGGAGGAGACCACAGAGGAAGCCATTGTTGTCCAAAAAGAATATTGCAGCACGTTTAAAGTTTGTAAAAGAGCACCTGGATGTTCCACAGCACTACTGGCAAAATATACTGTGGACAGATGAAACCAAGATTGAGTTGTTTGGGAAGAACACACAACACTATGTGTGGAGAAAAAAAGGCACAGCACACCAACATCAAAACCTCATTCCCACTGTAAAACATGGCGGAGGGAGCATCATGGTTTGGGGCTGCTTTGCTGCCTCAGGGCCTGGACGAATTGCTGTCATTGATGGGAAAATGAATTCCAGAGTTAATCAAGACATTTTGCAGGAAAACGTATGACCATCTATCCGCCAACTGAAGCTCCGCAGAGGATGGGTGATGCAACAGGACAATGACCCAAAGCTTACAAGTAATTCAACAAAACAATGGCTGCAACAGCACAGAATACACCGTCTGGAGTGGCCCAGTCAGAGTTCTGACCTCAACCCGATTGAAATGCTGTGGCATGACCTTAAGAGAGTGATTCACACCAGACATCCCAAGAATATTGCTACACTGAAACAGTTTTGTGAAGAGGAGTGGTCCAAATCGTTGTGCAGATCTGATCTGCAACTATAGGAAACGTTTGGTTGAGGTTATTGCTGCCAAAGGAGGGTCAACCAGTTATTAAGTCCAAAGGTTCACATACTTTTTCCTCCCTGCACTGTGAATATTTACGTTATGTGCAATTAAATAATGGCAATATCTAATGTTTGTGTAGTATTATGTTCAGCAGACTGTGTTCTTCTATTGTTGTGACTTAGATGACGTTAAGAGCACATTTTATGCCCAATTCATGCAAAACTCCACGTAATCCCAAGGGGTTCACATACTTTTTCTTGCAACTGTATGTGCAATTTTAAAATGTGTATAACTGGAGCACTGAGATTTCCATGAGTATGCAGAATGAAAAATTTAGAGTACAGTTTCGTTATAGAAACCATTGACAAAAATAGACTGCCAGTGAAAAGTAAAAAGTTCAGCGCTTCTGGCCATTGAACACGAATTGTTGTATGTATATATAAAAAAATAATAGCAGAGCTATTCATTCTATGAAACTGCGTGTAAATCTGTTGTGTGTGAATAGGGGAAAAAAACAAGTGTTCAGTTGAATGTGTTTTATTAATTAAGAATGGCAACTAGAAAAAGCTGACAATCTTAGTAAATAGGTATTATATTGTAATTGTACGGTCTCCATTTATATGGTAAAATGCTGTGAAAACTGTTGGTGCTGTATAAACCCTGTATAATTAGTATTCACTCTGATAATCTAATCCATCTGGTGGCTATAATGCTGTATTTTGCCGATTAATTCTGCATGAATTGAAAACATTCAACCTGAAGAGCCCAACATTTGTTTTTACCCCCATTTGCACATACTGAATATACACAGTGTCAGAAGACTAATAGCTTTGTGACCTTTTTTTTAATTTGATAAATACACCCCTTAGTGTGTCATTTAAATAGTTGAACAGTATAATAAGAAAAAATGTAATGTACGTATCAATAACAGTAAATTAATAAAAAATAAAATAAAGATGTGCATGTGTATCAAAAATGACGGTCTAGACCACAGGTTGGTTAACTGCTGTATGTGAAAGTATACAACTGAGCCACTATAAGGAGGTTGTAGATGTTATATATTCTCTTTATCATTACTAAACAAAATAAACAAAAAACACAGACACTCAATAACAAGCAACAAAACAGAGATGGCCATGAAGTAGGTGGGAAGTTATAGCAACCCCTTAGTCAAGTCCTTATAGAATTGCACCGAGCATGAGGGGGCTTTTCAAGGTTATTAATCCAAACCAAGCTTTGTGCCACTATCATTCACACACAGAAAAATAAAGTCTTCTGAGTATGTTTCATCTAATACAAGTTTTCCAAGTGGAGTCCGTGAGATCAGCCAGATCATTTGCCCCCTTTAATGCTTGGAGACTGAAAAGATCACTTGTATTCAAAGCTGTAGCATTACCATTTACATGAAGAATTATTTTTTCAGATGTCACAGTAAGCTGATGCTAAGTTTCTGGCAATGTACAAATTTTCAAGCTGAAATGAAGTTGGCCAAAACTTGAAGGCTAACCAAATGTCCAAAGGTATGCATAGAAGCATGACAGGGTCACAGACCCCCAGTGAAAACCTTTAATGACAGCCCACTCCACTTTTCTGCAAAACACTACTCTTCCTTGGGCAGATGTATGACGTCTTAGGTAGCCAAACAGAAGGAGACCATGCCTGAAATCCTCTGAACAAGAGTTTTTATTCATCCTATGTATAGAAGATAATTTCGGGGATTTGTCCATCCTCAACTGACGTCCCATTGTTATTTCCTGCTGCGTAGCAAAACGTGAAGCAAGTCTTGGTGCCAGTCGTAGGAGATTCATGAATAACTTTTCGTAGTCCCTTTGTACCATAGTGCGAATCTGGTCCCTAAAATAGAGTTAATTATAATTAAATACACAGAACATAGCAGGGAAATATATTACCAGTCATCCTAAAATGGCACACTCCCCCCCCATCCCTATAAAAAGCTTAAAGTCCAACTCCAGTCTGGATAGAGTGGAAATTCTTAGACACTGTCAAGTTTTAATTCCTATCTGGCTTCCAACTGGGAGAATTCCCATCACTTTCTGTCCATTGCATTAGACTGAATAAACCTGGGGACAGCAATACTTTTTTTTTTTCTTTTGGCATGCAGAAGGCTATTTGTGTCTCCAGTAGGGAAATGGAAGGGATGATTTCTAATTTTTAAAAGACGCCTTACTGACTGCAATGGTACCAACTGATTGGCATACAGCAAATGTGGTGTGGTACCAATTTACAAAGGGATCAAGATGCATAACTATGAAACTACAGATCAGTAAGCCTAACATCAAGCATATGTAGGGTATTTAAGGGAATGATAAGGGAGAGAAATGTGTCTAGTCAATATTTGATAACCAGCACAGATTTATGAAAGACTGTTCTTGTCAGACCAACCTGTTAACATTCTATGAGGAAGTAAGTGAGAAATTGGATGGTGGAAGTCCAGTGGATGATGCTAGGGCATTTGATGCTGTACATCAAACATTTATTTCTAAAAAATAAGGTCTGTTGGAGTTTATGAAACTATATGTACATAGATAGGAAATTGGTTACATGAATAGGTCCAGAAAACAGTGATAAGTGACTAATGGTATGAAAGGTCTAAAGTTGTGGGTGGTATGGCCTCAGGGTTCTGTCTTGAGGTCAGTGCTATTCGATGTGTAATGATACAGGAAGACCTTGACAAAATAGGGGCAGATGAGGTTCAATGCTGAAAAAAATTAAATTCACACACTTGGGTGCCAAAAATATACATGCAAAATACTGTTGGCATGGGGCTCCCCTGGGAGTAGTTAAAAAGTATCTGAGGTGCTGGTACATCACAAACCCCAAGGTGCAGCTAACAGAGCTGTCAAAATACTCTCATGCATAAAAAAGGAATACATTCAGGACAAAAATGTATAATTCTACCCCTTTACAAAACACTGGTTTGGCCTCATCTTAAATATGCGATTCGTTTTGGTCACCAATCCTCAGCAAAGACACTGCTGAATTAGAACGTGTTCAGCAAACAATGTAAAAATGGGGGATGGAAGACTTCAGATATATGGATTGACTACATAGACTGTAGTTATTCACTCTGGAAAAGAGGTGCTTAAGAGGGGATATGATTACAATGTACAAACAAATCAAAGTGTCTTCAATAGCTGTAATAAATTGTTTAAGGCTGGTGGTACACACAGGCCAAATATTGGCCGGTTCAACAGAAACAGTGTGTACAGCAGCAGCCTGTCTGACAGAAGCTGGTCCGACGACTGGCTTTTATTGAACATATTGAAGGCAATGTCTCGCTAGGTCAACAGGTAGGAAGGAAAGCCAAGGAAACGAGAACAGGAAATGAAGAAAAAGAGGGGAAGGTGAAGATAGACCTAGAACTCCCTGTTAATGCCTAATTCCACAGCAGACTGATCAAGCATGGATTATTTGTCCTGCATTTTTAAATATATTCTTTTTTCTACGTTTATTATTCCATCTTTACATATTGAATCTTGAGGGGCAATATTATAAAGTTTGCTATAATAATCCCTAAACACCTTCACAATATCTTTAGTTGAGTGCACCAGTTCTCCCTTGGGGTTCTTTATTTTCTCTATGTAATTCCTATTTTTCTTTTTCCTCAAAGCTCTCATCAAAAACTTTCCTGATTTATCCCCCCATCTATATATCTTTCGCATAATACTTTGTTAAAAACTCTCTTCTTCTCTTCCTCCATCATAATCTCCAATTCCGCTTTCTTTTCCTTTACCTTCTGCATTATCTCTTTCGTTATATTCTTTTTATGCAATTGTTCAACATCCGCCAGTTCTTTTAGGAGCCTACTGATCTTCTCTCTCCTTTCCCTTTTCTTTCTAGCCCCAATTGCAATAAGAATTTCCCTTATGTAAACCTTATGGGCCTCCCACACCGTAGCCTCAGATATCTCTCCCGTTTCATTTTCCTCAAAATATCTCTTAATTTCCTCTCCGAATTTCCTTACCCAAATTAAATGAAGATCTTTTGAATTCCTTAGAATTTGAAATTACTTATGAAGAAATAAAGATAGCATTAAAAAAATCTATGATAGTAAATCCAGGGACCCTGGATATACTGTTAAATATTATAAAAAATATAGTGAACTGTTAATACCTAAATTGAAGTCCTATTTTAACGCCTTGGGAGAAGAGATGGATATGAGACGAGAATCACTGCAGGCTCAGGCGGTCCTCATATACAAAGAAGGAAAAGATCCCACCCAATGTTCAAGCTATAGACCAATATCTTTATTAAATATAGACGCAAAGATTTTAGCAAATAGATTGAAAGATTTAATGCCCGAATGGATACATGAGGATCAGGTGGGTTTTGTTCAGGGGCGAGAGGGTAGAGATAATGGGTTGAGATCACTGTTGCTTATCCAGAAAAGTAGAAAGGGAAGGTCGCCAGCGGTGGCTCTTTCAGTGGATGCAGAGAAGGCATTTGATAGAGTCAATTGGGGATATATGATGGATACATTGGAGATCTTAGGAGTGGGTGATAGAATGAGAACTTGGATAGGAAAGTTATATAAGAACCCCTCTACAGTGGTAATGGAAAATGGGGAGCTATCGGAATCTTTTGAGATGACAAACGGAAGAAGACAGGGCTGCCCACTGTCCCCATTGTTATATGTTCTATCCTTGGAATCATTACTAGCAACAATAAGAAAAAATGTAGACATAAAAGGAATACGGGTGGGAAATATAGAACACAAGGTTGCCGAATTTGCAGATGATTTATTGTTTTATGTAGGAAATCCTAGGATAACACTCCCTAACTTAATGAGGGTTTTGAAGGAATATGGAGAGATGTCAAACTTAAAAATTAACCCGTCTAAAACAGAGATATTAAATATAAACCTTCCAAATAAAGAAAAAAGGGGGATACAAGGGGAGTTTCCCTTTGTGTGGAGAGAGAGAGAATTGAAGTATTTAGGGGTAAAACTCACTTCGGCCTATAAAAACTTGTATAAAGCAAATTATATAGTAATGTTAAACGAAATTAGAGAGGAATTAAAGAGATTAGGGGGAGGAAATCGGTCCTGGCTGGGACGTATAAATTTGATAAAAATGGTTGTAGTTCCCAAAATTCTATATAAATTTCAAATGGTCCCCATTAAGCTTCCTGAGGTATATTTTAAGATACTGAAAAAGATGATGACAAGATTCATTTGGAGAAATAAAAAACCTAGAGTATCTTATGAAGTGATAACTAGAAATAAAGAGAATGGCGGATTGGGAGTCCCTGACTTTAAGAGATATTATAATGCAGTTATTTTGGCTAGAATATTTGATTGGACATATAATGCAAAAGGGAAAAGTTGGGTCACAGTGGAAAATTCACTTAGTGGTAATGATTTAAGTAGGAGTATATGGGTGCCTACAGAGTATAGAGGATTCAAAGAAAGCACGAGTGTGTATACTTTAAATGTGTTAAGAGTGTGGGATAAAATGCACAGACAGTTAAAGTGGGAATTTAATTAATTACTGATGCCATTGAAAAATTCAGGGTTCTTCCCACCAGGTAGGGAGGAGGTTTCAGGAAAATGGATCACGAATGAGAGTGCCCAATTGAGAGATATAATGAAAGGGTAGAACTAAGAACACTTAAAGATTTGAAAAAGGAAGAGGGAAAGATTTTCACTAGGATAGATGGTTGGAGATATAATCAATTAAAATGTTTTGTGGGGAAATTGCCTAAGCCTTTGAGAGCGAGTATAGATTGGAACTTGTTTGAGAAGTTGTTGGGATCACGAGGTGATGGGAAACACGGTACGGCAAGGATATATAAAATTCTCACTGAGTTAGATATAGGTGGAAAAAAACTAATGTATATAGAAAAATGGGAAAGAGATTTGGGTGTGGAGATAGATGAGGTTAAACAAAAAAGAATATTTAGGTTGGTTCACGAGAATATAAGCTCACGGGAGGTGGAAATTAATTTTAAATGTTTGACAAGAGGATATATCACACCGAGTATAGAACATAAGATGAGTGGGGAGAAGTCACCTTTTTGTTGGCGGGGGTGTGGAGAGATAGGCACGTTTTATCACATATGGTGGGAATGTCCAAAGATACAAATATTCTGGAGAGAAGTGGTACACCAAATTAGAAAGATTACAGAAATTGATATTAGTCTGGACCCTGGAACCTGCCTTTTACATAATACAGAAATAACAGTAAATAAATATAAAGAATCAGGAACATGGTATTTTCTAAATGCAGCCAAGGGATCGATTCCAAAATTTTGGCGTCAAGTAGAAGCTCCAAAAAAACAAGACTGGATAGTTAGAATGGACTATATTGTAAGATTAGAGAAACTGTTTTATACCCAGGAAGATGGTATGGGGATATATCAGGCGAAATGGAAAAAATGGGAAGAGTTTAGATCAAGGGTGAATGGACGAGAATAAGGCCTCTCTTTTTCCTGCCCCCTTATGGGGAGAGCACGATTTAGAGCCTCTTTTTCTCTTGCCAAAGAGCGGTAGATGTAGGGTGGGGTAGGAGGTTGGGGAGGGGGGGTGACTTTGGATTTGCTAGTGGGGGGGTTGGGAGAAATAAGGAAAATATGGGAAATTAATGTTTAAATTAGATATTGTTGTTATATGAATGTAGGGAATTTATATTGTGGATTTTAAATTTCCTAATATTTTGAAAATCAATAAACATTTAAATTAAAAAAAAAAAAAAAAAAAAAAAAAAAAAAAAAACACAGCATGGATTATTTGTAATTCTTATGCTGCAAGCATTAGTAAATAAATAGAAAAGGATATCATATTAACGGATTTTAAACTTTTTATTCCTAGATATCTTGGGATATATGACATTAAA